AGAAATATATATATATACACTACCGGTCAAAAGTTTGGGATCAGTAAGACTTGTAATGTTTTTTAAAGAAGTCTCTTCTGCTCATCAAGGCTGCATTTATTTGATCAAAAATACAGAAAAAACTGTAATCTTGCAAAATGTTATTACAATATAAAATAATGGTTTCTATTTTAATATCCAATATACTTTATTTCTGTGATGCAAAGCTGAATTTCCATCAGCCATTACTCCAGTATAAAGTGTCACATGATCCTTCAGAAATCATTCTAATATGCTGATTTATTATTAGAATTATCAATGTTGGCAACAGTTGTGCTGCCAAATATTTTTTTTGGAAACTGCGATACTTTTTTCAGGATTCTTTGATGAATAAAAAGTTAAAAAGAACAGCATTTATTCAAAATACAAATATTTTCTAAGAATATAAATCTCTGCTATCACTTAACAATTGAACACATCCTTGCTGAATAAAAGTTTGAATTTCTTTCAAAAAAAGAAAGAATCAAAATTTACTGACCCCAAACTTTTGAACTGTAGTGTATATTGTTAGAAAAGATTTATATTTTAAATAAAATAACTAGCTCTTCTTTTTAACTTTTAATTCATCAAAGAATCCTGAAAAAAGTATCACAGGTTCCCAAAAAATGTCCAGCACTGATAATAAATCAGCATATTAGAATGATTTCTGAAGGATCGTGTGACACTGAAGACTGGAGTAATGATGCTGAAAATTCAGCTTTGCATCACAGGAATAAATTACATTTTAATGTCTATTAAAATAGAAAATCATCATAATAATATTTAATAATACATCATAATATTATTTCACAATATTAAATTTTTCCCTGTATTATTGATCAAATAAATGCAGCCTTGAAGAGCATAAGAAACTCCTGTAAAAAACATAAAAAATCGTTCTGATCCCAAACTTTTGAATTAAAGACACAATAAAAACAGTAATATTGTGAAATACATTCCAATATAAAACAACTGTTTTCTATTGTAATATATTTTAAAATGCAATTTATTCCTGTGATGCAAAGCTGAATTTTCAGCATAATTTTTCCAGGCTTCAGTCTCGCATGATCCTTCAGAAATCATTCTAATATGCTGATTTGTGCTCAAGAAACATTTCTTATTATTATAAATGTTGAAAACAGTTGTGCTGCTATATAATTTTGTGGAAACTGATGCATTTTTTCAGGATTCTTTGAAGAAGTAGAATGTCCAAAATAATTCATTTGAAATAGAAATCTTTTGTAACATTATAAATGTTTTTACTGTCACTAAATCGATTGAGATGCCTAACAAATCGCGATACAATTGGAGTAGGAGTTTATATGAATGTATCTCTGAGTGGAACTGACTGTCTTTAGAAAAGTTTACATGGTGTTTTCTTTTCATCTTGCCTCTGAACAATGCATATTAAAGTAGTGTTCATAGGCAGCGGTAACCCAGGAAACACTGTATCATTGCTGTTCATAAGCGCCACCTGCTGTCAGAGAGTGCATCTGTGTCTCATTCAGCTCATCTGCTGTTTCCTTCAGATATGTGTTATGTAGTATAGTTTCACAAAACTAAAGTCAAACCATTCTGTTTTTGCTTCAAATTTCTAAATGATACAGTCTAATTTAGATTAAAAACTACTCACGCTGCATGTATGCAGCATCTTTGTTTGGATCATGATTAAAATCCAGTGGTTGCCTCTAATTTTAAATGGAAAGCGCACAGACAAAGCCTTAGTTTCTTCATATTAAGAGATTTCTTTTATTTGTGTAACTTGTTTGATTTTGGGGTTTGTTTTAAAATTTCAATTTAGTTTAATTTAGAAATGTGTGAAACATTTATAATAGCCTAATAAAACGACACCTTTTCATTTACTGTATAATGTCTTCAATCTCATTTTGTAAAAAAAAATAATGAGAAAATCGAATCATGAAATCAAAATCATGAATCGAATCGAATCGTGAGTTGAGTGAATCGTTACATCCCTAAAAATAACCCAAAATAGTTTAACGCAACTGCTGTTCTGTGGAAGTAGAAGTCTTTGAAGAAATTCTAAAATGAACTATGTAAATGATTTCCATATGATTAGATGTTTATGTAAAACGAGAGGTGCGGCCTGATGGGATGGGAGTGTTGAAAGAGCAGGCGTTGGTGTGTAACAGCAGTCAGGTGAGCTCAAGTACCTGCCCTCCAGCGAACACCAGCCGCAGTAGGGATCTCTATTAGACAGACAGGTGTGGCAGTCTAAGTGCTTCTCACACTGAGCGACGTGGAGCTTTGTAACCTGAAACACACACACACACAAATCAGAGGCCCTAAGCACTGTTCTCGAATTGGAAACTGATAAAATGCAAGAGGATGCAACTTTTGCATGAGCGAACAGTGTGAAAACAATCTCCGATTCTGATTGGCTGCCAAGACAAATCCACCGGCAATTACTCGACAATGCAAAAAACAAAACCCGACTTTTATCTCGAGAAAAAATCTGTCATTCAAATGATGTTTGTCAAAGTAAACGTGTAATCTCTCCTCTGAGAGCGCGCATGTATCAGATGCCGTGTTTCAGTTTCTGGCAGTTGAAAGGAAGTTGTTTGACTCTCGTACCTTTCTTCCAGTTAATACGTAGACGTTCTGTTTGTTGGAGTCCAACAGCAGGTCAGCGTTAATGGGACTCTCTGCATCCACCTCCACTGTGTCATATTTGGTACCGGTACCATTTGCATGTAAGAACACCTGCAATAAAAATAAAGGCACATGATGCACAACTTTCCCAAACAAACCACATGATTTAAGGTATCACTCTGTAGCACAAACGCTGCAGGGCACATTATGTATTAGTTGAATACTTACAATTAGTGGTTTATTCAAAAGCATGAACAAAAGCATGCATCGCTAATCAATGATTTTGCATACATATGCATATACAAAAGACACACACGTTGGCCACAAAGCTCAGGCGAGTTGCAATCGCAGCAGGCCGGTGTGTTTTTCAGCATTTTACAGGCAGGGGAAGTGATACCGTGGGCTGTCTGTGATAAGTTCTGCCTGAGGAGAAATTTGGGGCGGTAAACAAGCTGCTGTTTCAGAGTTTCGCCGTTAATATTTCATACAGCACTAGAGGGAATTGAAGGATGAAAAACTCCAAGTGCGGTTGCCGCCGCCCCAGAGCATGTGACCGGCTCCCTTGGGATCGATTCTCCCCAAGGCGCTTGCAATAAGCATTCAGAACATGTCCTCTAATGCTGATGAGAAACACACAAACACACACTCCCTCCTATATGCACACACACAATCATACCACCTCCAGGCCAGACTGGAACAACCACGAGACGTAAATACCCCACAATCCCAGATTGAAAGTAGGCAAAATTGGCAGATCAAATTATATTCGCCCCTAAAAATGCCAAAAATATACTGTAATGCAGCAAACTGAATGTGTTTCCTAAGTCTGAATGAATGTTGCACTAGGATCTTCTGTCTGAAGGATCTTAAAGGAATAGTTCATCCAAAAAATAACAATGCAACCATTAAGTCATCCTTTTGCGGTTTATTCCAAGTCTTTTGAAGCCTCTAGCTGTTATTTAAGTTATTTACTAAAAGTTGAACAGCAAAACTTGGCATCAATGACTATTTCTGAACCTGAACTTTAATGCCATTTCAGAGCTTTGCTGAAAGGGTAGATTTTCTGTAAAAAAAAAAATGTATGGTTAATATTTTGGTCATATGGACCACTTTTATGGTGATTGACAGGTCTGTTGTTATACAGAAAAATCGGTGTGAAGGTTCTTCAAAATTTTGTTCTTTTCCACAGAAGGAATAATTTAATACAGACATTGGAAAGATGGGTTTTTGGTGAACTATAACTGAAACCAAACCCTAGCATGCCAAGTATAAGAGTTGCTCATCATGTATTTCTTTTCACCTTCCATGACTCATAAATTAATTCTACACTGTTCCACCTCTAAGATCACAGAGCTTAAGACTTGCATGCTCACTCTTGTCCATTTGCCTTAAATAGCAGCTTAAATCCAAATGTAACAGTTCAAGCTAACTGTGACATCTTATGTTTTTTTGCTTTGAAAGGTGATCTTAAAATATACTTCCAGTCTCATTTCCAGTGGCCTTGAACTGTAGGCCTCAAATAAAGGATACAAAAGTGTCCAAACTGCAATGCAATTTACAAAAAAAAAAAACAAGAACTTACTATAATACCTCCCCAAAACTTTGTCCTGACAAATAATGTAACACACTATCTGAACTCTGACTAAACCAACTTTTAATAACATAACATTACCCTGCTGTATGGTGGTTTGCTCATTACTGGAGAGTTAGTGCTTAATGACAGATTATGATTACTCCGTGTGTTTGCTTTTCAATAAAGAAGTCTTTAATGATGGTAAACAGCCTTTAAAATTCAGTTATTCATGCTGATTTTTCCCATTATGCTTCAGTGATGGATGGTGGGTCTTTAATGGTTAAGGATTTGTGCTGCTAACACAAAAATTGCAGGTTTAGTGCCATTAAAGCATGATGCAAGATAAAAAAAACAGCAAGGCCAATAATAGGTAACAGTAAGTCATACCTTGTGCAGCCTTCCATTTTTGTCTCCTAGCAGTACTATGGTATGGCCAACTTCAGTTGCCGTGGTGACAGCAGTGATGGGAGGAGTCCAGGTGAAAGCGGGCGTGGCCTCAAGAGCAATGGCACTGGCGATGGGGCTGGGTGTGTGTTCACCTCCGCATGGGTACTCATTCAGAGAGTCCTGCACAACCCCAAAAACATATCTATCGTTAAATACATTTATCATACACAGTTCATGATTATAGCAGATGGAAAATAATTAGGGATGGGAACAGTTGGGAATTCAACTGTTGAATTATTGGGTTATTTAATGCTTTAAATTAATCTCACATCTATTGATATGGTTTTAATATCATAAATCTATGGCAGTTGTTACGTTTATTTTTTCACCGCTTTAAGCTTTTTAGGTTTGTAGGTGTTCAGGTACAGAAATTAAATAATCAAATGTAAAATAACACTGCATATTAGTCACTGTATAAATTAGAAAACAGAAAACAGCACGCAGAGGCTGAATTGAGTTCTTTCGCATCTTCTTGCACTTGAATACTTTAAATTTGCTTAAATGTTTAGGCTTAAAAACACATTCAAATGATAAACTTTCGTGATGGATTTATCACTGGCCTGATCGGGCCACTGACAATTCTGTCAACTATCCCAAGCATCTTCCACGCGGACGCTTGGGGACCATGGTGGGCCTGGCCTGGCCCCCCAGCATCAGTATGAAAGATGATGCCCCCCCCATGGAGACGGGCCTGTTATTAGATAAGTTTGACTGTGTAGTGAAGGAAAAGCTGCCAGTAACCACCCAGCACACATTAGTCCTTCAATAATTTTAAAAAGCATCCAAGGATGCACCACATTAAGTTGGCTGAAAGAATTTCCGGAGTCTGCAGAGCTGGAATATAGACAGCAAGATGCTCAAATACAAAAGCTGATTTTTTTCATAGATTTAATGACTTTGCTACTATGCTAAGATATGGAACCTTAATAATAAATAACAAGCAAGTGTGTCCAAACTTCTGACTGGTAGTTTACATGCAATGGCATGCAAGTTTCTAATATATGCAATTTGGCTGTACTTGGAATTCAGTCAAACGATATATAAACAGTTTAGGATTTAACGAATGTTAAATGTTTTTGGAAATAAAGAGGTTTGAGTTAATCACACAGACAGACAGCTGTGTGCCCACATGCTAACAATACTGAGACAAAAACCCTGAGAGATGACACATTATGAACAATTAATATACAAAATGCAAGTAGAATATTAAGTTGGAGCTCTAAAAACTGGGTAAGTACAAAGTTTCCAAAGTCAACTATGAACATTTGGATAGTGTCAGAAACATCCTGTCCTTGCTGTGTGCATAAAAATCAATACTAAAAAAGCTCAGCTGCTTTTATTATGGTGTCTGTCAAACCCAACCCATCATCTATCCATGGCTGGGAGTGATTTTTAGATGCACTCTCACTGGAGCCAGCCGTGGGTTTGTGTGTCCTAAGCTAATGCTATTCTGGAATTGCAGCTGTCAGTGGATGAACATGCACAATACCTCAGCTAACAGACCAAGGGGAGTGGCCACACAGGACAGTGGAACAGTGGCACACAATTGAAGTCAAAGGAGGTCAAATACACAAACACCAAACACACCTACTGCTTTGGAAACTAGATAATAGCCATCCATTTTGCAGTACTTCCTATGAATTATTGAGATGGCCATAACTGTTAAATTTGCAACATGAACATCATGACCGTAAAGTCAGAATAAAATAAGAACTGATCCCCATTTACTTTCTTAATCCCCCTTCCTGGATATTGTGCACATAAGGAGAAATTTAGCTTTTTTTCCATGCAATTAAATTAATTGAGACTGGAGCATTCAAGCTTCAAAAGGACCATGAAAGTATGATAAAAGTAATCAACATGATTCCAAGTCTTCTAAATTCATATGATAATGCTGTGTGAGGAACAGACCAAAATTTGGTTGTAGTCAGGGTGTAGTCCCCCATACATTGCAATTGCTTGGGGGGAAAAAACAATCATTACAATCTTTAAAAATGCTAAGTCACACAGTTTTGGAACAGTATACAGTAAGTGTTTAAATTATTATGTACATGGTGAGATGGTCCAAAACTGATTTGATAATTGCTTAATATCTTTTTTTTTTTTTACTTTTATGACAAATTCATTAACAGACTGAATTCATATTTTAGATACAGGGAAACAGACATTGAAAGTGGTTACATTATTGTGTCTTTGAGGTCAGAGTTTCAGTGTGCTTCTGTGTGTGGTGGTCACTGGGGCGGTGAGCCCAGAGAGGATGTGGGTCAGCAGAAGTCAAACCAGCTGTGGCGTTAAGCTGGATTTAACCACCTCCCAGAGGCTACAGACACCACTCCTTTTCATTCCCAAGCTCATACTAATACACACTACCCCCTTCCACACAGTAAGAAACACATGAATAGAACATTACCCAATCTCCATTAGTCTTCATACCTCCTTCCCTCCCCTTCCTTCTCTCTCAAACAAAACCTCTTTAGATTTTGCTCTTAGAAATTCTCCAGTATTCATTGGTCACACTTAAAACAACAAACCATAAACTACACAAACCACTGTATACCCAAAATTACAGTTCGCTCACAGCTAACAAAAAACATTTTGCTACTACTTGTTTTGTTATGCTAAAAGGCCATTACAGACGAATAAACTTTCGGTTGCATAAACTGAAGATGGAAATACTCACAGAGCAGAGATTTAGAATCAGCCCTGTAACATGCAGAAATCCGGGAGCTGTTGCTGCATTTGTTATGCTGTGCGGATTAGCACTGGCGCAGGCAGCTGGATGCTAATCTGTGTCAGCACTGAGGCAGCTGCCACTCGCCCAGTCTTACACCCCTGTCGCAAAAAAGCCCCAGCTGACCCTGATCTGTCGCCAAGAAACCACAAACCATGCTGTCTTACACGACCTGGCTAATAGGCCGATATCTTGCGGCTTCCCCTAGCAATATATTCCTACTTATCGCTCTTTAGCTGTGGATTTAACCCTCATTAAAAAGCCACTACATTCATGGTGCCACTACCTCTGTCTGCTAAAGTCTTTTGAAGCCATGCTGAGGTAGGTGGATAGGACTGCCTAAGATTGGCAATATAAGCGGATACCTAAGTGCAAGCTACTGCCAAAAAAACTGCATAATCCACTATCTCATTGGCTAATGTTGGAATTATGCTGTTATTTGGATGGGTCTTAAACGAAACTGATTGTGAATGGTGGAAGGGGTTTAGGGAACTACAGCCTGGAAAAAGAATCTGGCAAAAGAGCAAAATTTCAATTTTGTTGGATCAGATGACACATCAAAGGCCCTTTGAGAACAACATGATGAATTACAGTGGGTTGTAATCCTCTGAGGAATGACTACAAACCAAGGCCAACAACTTACCTGCGGGAGCTTCAGACAACTGGAGGACACTTCGTACTCTATATACGCCTTCTCCTTGTTGTTGGCGTCTTTGCCCTCTTGTGTGTAACACAGTAGCTGGGCGCCATGCAGGGCTTTATCCAGCTCCTCCACCTTGTACACACAAAGAGCTGTCCTGTCTGTGGGTGTGGGAGTCGATGCCTGCCCCATGGCCATGGCCACAAACAGCGTCGGTTGTTCACGGTGATAGCCAAGTACAGCCGCCTGTGCCAGATTGTATCCTCCACCGCAGGAAAGCGGCACCTCCACATAAGAGTAGAAATTGGGGTCGCCTACACAGAGTCTTGAAACATATGTCCGATATTCTCGTTTGCCCCACATGTCGCGCCGAGAGAACACAAAATAGACGTAGTTGTTGTGGTGAAAAGCTTTCACAAAGTGGTTGTTGTATTCGGAATAGCTACCGACAACCAGCTTTCCAAGTTCTTCGTGGGAGAATGCTGGAGCAGAGTAACGCGCGACTGGGGTTAAGCGTCGCATCGTGATTGGCGGGATCCCACCAGGTCCTTTACTGGTGTAGCCCCGCCCAACAAGCATAAGCAGAACACCTTTCTGCTCAACCACCACACCAACTGTGGACACTCGAGGGTTGTTTGCTGCCACATACTGCGTGTCCACGGGGTTGTCGGTCTTGTACAGAACCTGAGAGACATTCTCCAAGCTTCGCTTCTCGCAGATGCCCTGCAGAACTGTCCCGCACACAATCAGGCTGAGCGGATCCCCTCCTTTGATCTCTTCCAGCAACAAAAGCTTGTTGGTGTTGTCCGTGGTTTCCGCCTGGGTGCAATCAGTGGGGTCAATGGGTGGTAGGCAGTCCGGGCTGTCCAGTTTAGGCCCCGTTTTGCCCCAGGAGAGTAGCTGCAAGTCTGGAGAGAGGTGATAGAGCACATTTACCGCCCCCACGTAGATGTGGCTCGAATGGGTGTCGAGTAGGAGGTGATTGAGGTGGGAGCCATTAAGGGTGATGAATGTAGGGGGGCTTTGAAGATGGCCGGGGGCCAGAGGCAATACCAGAGGCCACCACAAGATGGCGAGGAGCAGCAACAGGGAAGCAGGAGCTGGCATGGCACCCCCTCACCTACTGAAAAGAGACAGAGATCAAGAAGATAGGGAGAGAGAGAGAGGGCAGTTGAAAAGAAGCATACAGGAAGAAAAATAATTCAGAATGGAGGGACAGGGTGAGAACGTAACCAACAGAGAAAAAAGTTAGTCAGCAAGGTCAGAAACATGAAGGCAATGTGCATGAAGAGAGTTATGGGGAGGAAGCGAAGATATGGGAAAAGACAGTAAGGAAGAGGGAGAAGAGCATGGAAAGTTGAGTAACACATGAAAAGGAAGGAAAATAGTCAGAAGGCAAAGCAAGATAGTGTTAGCGGAAACCAGAGAGAGGAAATGATTAAGATGGGTGATCGAGAGAGAAGGATAAAGATATAGAGAAAGAAAGGAGCAAGAGAGGAGGGGGAGAGAGAGAGAGTTATAAGAAAGCTGTTGTGTTTACAACTGTGACAGTGAGCGCTTATCAGGATCAACTGAATGCTGGATTTTCAAAGGCATGTGAAATATTTAAAGTTTGCGGCATATCATCTTTAAAATACATTCAAGAGTTTTACACACGGTCTGTTATTGTGGGGACATTTACACGTCCCTAAACATGACGCGGCACAAAACGAAACGTGATTGGATGCTTTATCTGTCAGTCATATGGCCTCTTGGCCGGTCCTTGCCATTCAAAGTCCCTCATGTTATAAGAAAGCTGTTGTGTTTACAACTGTGACAGTGAGCGCTTATCAGGATCAACTGAACGCTGGATTTTCAAAGGTATGTGAAATATTTAAAGTTTATGGCATAGAATCTTTAAAATACATCCAAGAGTTTTACACACGGTCTGTTATTGTGGGGACATTTACACGCCCCTAAACATGACGCGGCACAAAACGAAACGTGATTGGATGCTTTATCTGTAAGTCATATGGCCTCTTGGCCGGTCCTTGCCATTCAAAGTGGCCAAGGTTCCCAGACCTTCTGCCGTTAGTCTGAAGGTCTGGCTACGCGAGACAAATCCTTCATTGACATGCATTCAAACAAAACAGCCTCTGGTCTCCTTCCCTGTGTAATGCCAAAGCATTAGCATTAGCCATTACATTTTTTTGGCTAAAGGTTGCAGGCTTGCCTTCCAGTAGCTTTGCTTCAGATCAATGGTCTAACAGCGTTCGTCAATGCCAAAATAATTGAGATGGCCAATCAAATCGAAGTAGCAGAGCACGAATTCCAGCATGAAACATCAGTGTAACGATGTTATAAGAAAGCTGTTGTGTTTACAACTGTGACAGTGAGCGCTTATCAGGATCAACTGAATGCTGGATTTTCAAAGGCATGTGAAATATTTAAAGTTTGCGGCATATCATCTTTAAAATACATCCAAGAGTTTTACACACGGTCTGTTATTGTGGGGACATTTACACGCCCCTAAACATGACGCGGCACAAAACGAAACGTGATTGGATGCTTTATCTGTAAGTCATATGGCCTCTTGGCCGGTCCTTGCCATTCAAAGTGGCCAAGGTTCCCAAACCTTCTGCCGTTAGTCTGAATTGACATGCATTCAAACAAAACAGCCTCTGGTCTCCTTCCCTATGTAATGCCAAAGCATTAGCATTAGCCATTAAATTTTTTTGGCTAAAGGTTGCAGGCTTGCCTTCCAGTAGCTTTGCTTCAGATCAATGGTCTAACAGCGTTCGTCAATGCCAAAATAATTGAGATGGCCAATCAAATCGAAGTAGCAGAGCACGAATTCCAGCATGAAACATCAGTGTAACATTGAAAGAGAGCGAGGTAAGATGGAAGTTGCAAATCATTTAATAGTCAACTGTTTTACGATAGAAATGTTAAATGACCGACAGCTATATCCAGTGATGCAAGCTACCTGACTTTTTCTCAAATATGGCCATTTTGAGAGAGAGAGAGAGAGAGAGCTTAAAGTGGTGTGTGTGAATTACCTGCATCTGTCTCTCTCTACAAACCAGTGTTAATTTTGACAACAATTTTTTATTTAGTTTTAGTCATAGTCTTTTGACTAAAATGCCATTTAGTTTTAGTCATATTTTAGTCACATTTAGTCTCCATAGTCTAGTCATTTTAGTTTTAGTCAACTAAATCTACAGTAAATTTAGTCGGCTAAAATCTAATGGGTTTAGTTACAGTATAATAGAGAGAGAGAGAGAGAGAGAGAGAGAGAGAGAGAGATTAAAGTTACGTGTGTGAATTACCTGCATCTGTCTCTCTCTCTACAAACCAGTGTTAATTTTGACAACAACGCATAAACACATTTCATTACACCAAATACACAAAATAATGTTCTTTTTAGCAGCATCATATGACCCCTTTAAGCATTTCTCTAAAATTTCCGAACTCATTATATTGGTTTGATATTAAGGTTTTATCATGATAGACACCGATTAAATGACACATAACATGCCTTTATGTTAAAATTAAATAAAACCACTTCTCATAAAGAACAAGAACATGGTCTTCATTTTAATGAAATACCAATGTTTATATAGGCTAATTATGTATTCTTTACAGCAACTTGTTTACCATATTCTTCATTCTTTCAAGCAGACATATTTCTTTCTATAAATACATTTAGATTAATCTTTAAGGCAATCTTTAAAACCGAATGCACAGCTGAAGTGGATGCAATGTACTAATACACTGAATTGAGTTCTCTCTTATGCCTTTATGTTAAAATTAAATAAAACCACTTCTCATAAAGAACAAGAACATGGTCTTCGTTTTAATGAAATACCAATGTTTATATAGGCTAATTATGTATTTTTTACAGCAACTTGTTTACCATATTCTTCATTCTTTCAAGCAGCCATATTTATTTCTATAAATAAATTTAGATTCATCTTTAGGGCTACTAAAGTTTTTCAGTCAAGAGCAGTGAGATATTTTCTGTCTTTCTTTTGTTGCTTGATTAACATCAATGACTCGGACAATAGCAACTAAATTAGGCTGCTATCCCTTTAAAACCGAATGCACAGCTGCAATGGATGCAATGTACTGATACACATTCTCCCTACTGTTTACGTTCACTTAAGACGCAATCAACTGTGTTTACGTGACTACTCGTCAAAACGGACAATTCAACATCATTTTGTGCGTAATCCTCCATTCATGCGACGCAAAAGAGTACTCGCACGCTGTGAGACGAGCAAGCTTTTTGAAAAGCTGCGCAAAACCACGATCATATTTTGCACGTGAGTTATTTTCTGTCTTTCTTTTGTTGCTTGATTAACATCAATGACTCGGACAATAGCAACTAAATTAGGCTGCTATGCCTTTAAAACCGAATGCACAGCTGCAATGGATGCAATGTACTGATACACATTCTCCCTACTGTTTACGTTCACTTAAGACGCAATCAACTGTGTTTAAGTGAATACTCGTCAAAACGGACAATTCGACATTATTTTGTGTGTAATCCTCCATTCATGCGACGCAAAAGAGTACTCGCACTCTGTGAGACAAGCTTTTTTAAAAATCGCGGACTTTCACGTGAAGCAGCATTAACTACACAGAGCCATTGTTCACTGAAAAGCTGCGCAAAACCACGATCATATTTTGCACATGTTTTGCGCAGCTTGTCAGTGAACAATGGCTCTGTGTAGTTAATGCTGCTTCATGTGAAAGTCCGCACGTGATGGAGATTTACCGCTGATTACAGAACGGCTTTACTGACAAGATGCACGTTAAATATCGCATGCGATTTATCGTGCAGCCCTAGTCTGCGCTCTGAAAACCGGACCGAAATGAGTTCTCTCTTGTGTCATCAGATTTATCTATATGTCTGACTCCCACATATTGACATTTTTTAACGTTTTATGCGACGTGCAGCAAGTGTATTTTAGTGTATGTCCCGCCGGTTCATATGTACGCATCTAACCTCCTAACCACGCAGCAGATTCGTTCTGAAATTGAATGAATCTCTTCCCAAATCGTCCCTCCCTAACATTTTCGTCTCATTTTTATCAGTTGATGAAAATGTCAATATATTTTCGTCATAGCTTTTGTCATTCAAAAAGAGTTTTATCTTGTTATCGTCTCGTTGTCGTCAGTGAAAAAAATTTTGTTGACGAACATTATGACGAAAATTATTCATCAACAAAATTAACACTGCTACAAACAATGAAGCTGAGTTTAGTTACTTCAAAAACATAGTTGCTGAGAAATATAATGTAGCGATTTAGTATCGATTAATAAAAGTAGCGGGGCAGCGTTGACAACATGTTTCTGTGCTCCTGAATGTTTCTGTGTGTACGCAGTGCGATAAAAACTATTTATGAAAAAAATGCTTCAGAAAATATTTGTATGATAATCAAATAAAGATTTTTATCAGAACACTTCAAAATTATTACAGATTGCATTCAAAAAAAGGGGGGTGGGGGTATTTGGCACAGTGGTTAACCAGAAAAGGTTGCCGGCCCCTGCTCTATAACTTACACATATTAATTGCTCCCTTTTCAGAACTGAACTCCACAGCACAACTCTTCTCAACAAGACACACAAATTTGAGCCATCATTCACATCCGTGTCACAAGTAGTGCGGGATGAGTTACATGCCAAGCTGTAGTATTTAGGGATAGGAGTTCATTCAAATCACTAACCCCAAGTATGAGCAACAGTAATAATTATGCTTGCCTTCAAGTCAAGTCTAGATGGAGGCTTGACTAATTTCTGCCAGTAAGCCAAACACGATTCCATTTTTGAAGGAGAAAAAGTATCAGAGGACACTGAGTATCTGAGCAAGAAAGTTATAGAGGGAAAAGAAAGATTCATCTTTAATTCATATCACAGCAGCCAAGAAGTCTTGAGGGCCTAGTATATGAGAGATGAAGAGGAGCAAAGGAGAAGAGGGGGAAAAAAATTCCAGAGATGCTAGAGTCTATCAGTATGCATAACATTTTACCTCATCTCCACCTTCAAAGGGATGGTGGGTAAGAAAAGGACAGTTTGACATGCTGCCGAGATTAGCCACTTCTTTTCAATTAGGCTTTGAATTGGAGAGTTCATGCGCCA